CTTAACACAATAAAGAAACGGACCGTATAGTACAGCACAAATAACACAAATGATCAATACTTACATATATTTTCACTTGTAGTATTATAATAATTGAAATGCTGGTTCTTCTGGGGGTGTTCTATCCACGCTCAGCTTGCACTGTACAATCGCTGGAGGACTGGGCTGTCACTCAAAAACTGAGTAGCCAATGGGGAGGCACCCCTGAATGTCCCGCCCACCTCGGAGTTTTGTGTCAGAATCTCAAACAAAAAGTGAAGGAGCGCAAATGAGAGTGCTGCTATGGAGTCAGATTTGGGTCAATATTCTAGCGCGTAAAACAAGCTACTCACGAGCGGAAAATGTGCTTTTACACGCGCATAAAATGACCCTCGCGCGCAGATTAAACCCCCGCGAGCGGCTCTGGGCCCGCGAGCGAGCAAGAGGGCTGTCTCTCTCGGCCGCTCGCGGGGGTTTAATCTGCGCGCGAGGGTCATTTTATGCGCGTGTAAAAGCACATTTTCCGCTTCCGGAGTATCAGCCTCGCGGAGTCTGTCTACGCACGCGTGAAAAGTTTCTGGCACTTTGGGGCGGAGCCACTGGACTTTGATTGACAGCTGCCAGGAAACCCGGAGTTGCCAGGTTTGATAAATGCCTGAACTACCAAGAGCCGAGGAGTGACGGCAGCAAAATCAGTTGGACGAGATTGAATGGTAAAGTTGTCCATAAAAAACTATTATATTCGTAAAGTGTACAGCTAATATATATATATATATATATATAAATTAATTTGATATAAAACAATATATTTTTGAGTGGGCTGTATCTGTCGAAAATTGCATATATATATATATATATATATATAAATAAATATAAATGGTTGTAAAAATTGTTTTTTTATTTGCTTGATACAAAAGGACATTCTTTATAACCAATTGCTTTATTATCACGCATTTGTAATATTTGTATGCTAGAACTGTTGTATTATTTTTGAAAAATAAAAAATAGCTCACTTGTCATTCATTTTTATCCTTAATTATCCATCCAACACTGAAAAGGTGGTCCTTGTGAAGAATCTCATCACTATATTCCCTCAGCTGAAAGTCATTTACAACAATAGTTTGCTGAAGATTAAGTTTGTTTTAACCAAGGTATAAGGTTTTTTTAGGTGTGATTTTATGAATTATCTATTCTGTCAACATTTGATGAATTAGAAAAATACTAATATTTTTAAATGTTAACAATTATTTTCTTAATGACATATTGTGCTAATGAAATCCTTGTAATAAAATGTCCAATTAATGTATTCTTGCATTCACATTATAGTGATGAGATTCTTCACAAGGACCACCTTTTCAGTGTTGGATGGATAATTAAGGATAAAAATGAATGACAAGTGAGCTATTTTTTATTTTTCAAAAATAATACAACAGTTCTAGCATACAAATATTACAAATGCGTGATAATAAAGCAATTGGTTATAAAGAATGTCCTTTTGTATCAAGCAAATAAAAAAACAATTTTTACAACCATATATATATATATATATATATATATATATATGCAATTTTCGACAGATACAGCCCACTCAAAAATATATTGTTTTATATAAAATTAATTTATATATATATATATATATATATATATATTAGCTGTACACTTTACAAATATAATAGTTTTTTATGGACAACTTTACCATTCAATCTCGTCCAACTGATTTTGCTGCCGTCACTCCTCGGCTCTTGGTAGTTCAGGCATTTATCAAACCTGGCAACTCCGGCTTTCCTGGCAGCTGTCAATCAAAGTCCAGTGGCTCCGCCCCAAAGTGCCAGAAACTTTTCACGCGCGCGTAGACAGACTCCGCGAGGCTGATACTCCCGCGAGCGAGCAAGAGAGCTGTCTCTCTCGGCCGCTCGCGGGCCCAGAGCCGCTCGCGGGGGTTTAATCTGCGTGCGAGGGTCATTTTATGCGTGTGTAAAAGCACATTTTCCGCTCGTGAGTAGCTTGTTTTACGCGCTAGAATATTGACCCAAATCTGACTCCATAGCTGCAGCGAGAGCAAAAGTCTGATCATTGAGAAAGAAGAAACAAGAACGGCAAACAAAAACCTATGTTAAAACAAAGAAAAAAGACTTATAGTTTACATGATTACACAAATGATTTGTTTGCAACTTATAGTTTTATTTTTGAAATTTATTTTATTTTGCTTGACTCAGTTTTTTTTTCTTTTGACCTCATAGTTTTGCTTTATTCTGAGAAAGTGTTGCTTTATCTTTATGATACAAAACTAATCCCATAGACTGCAGGATTGTGAGTGTTGGATAAACTCAAATAAACTGCATGATGAACTTTAAATAAACATGTCACCCTGTGCTAAAGTTAGGGTTATATTTCTGAAAAATTAACAGAGGAATAACCCATATCCAACATATATTCTTTACTAGGCAAAAGTTCATCCGTCTAATTAATGTTTTCATGTTTTTCACAATATAAAAAACATAGCCATCCATATCGGGTTAGCAGAGGTGGACAAAGTAATTATACTTTTTACTTGAGTAAAAGTAGAAATACACCAGTCTAGCAATACTCTCTTACCAGTAAAAGTCCTTCATACAAAATCTTACTTGAGTAAAAGTACAAAAGTATCGGCATCAAAATATACTTAGAGTACCAAAAGTAATGTCCCATTTTAGAATCATTACATTTCGGTATAATGATTATTGATGCATTAATGTGTTCATCACAGCTGTTAAAGGTGGAGCTTATATAAATACTGCTGATCGATATCTTAACCTATCATTTTATATCATATTTAATTTATAATTATATCTATTTGTTAAATAAATGTAGTACAATATTGGCTTCTAAAATATAGTGGAGTAGAATACAAAATAAGCATAACATGGAAATACTTAAGGAAACTACAAGTTCACCAAAATCTTAGATAGGTGCAGTTCTTTTAGCCGGTATTTGCACATCTGTACACAAGCAACCTCTTATCCAATTTCCATAACAGTACTGCACATATTTTATTTCAGTTTATTTTATTATTCTGAGTACTTGGCAATAGTATACTGCACTTAGTTTCATTTGTGTACATCCAGATCACATGTAAATAATTGTACTATATCTTAACATATAATAGTTTCAATTATTCTGATTTTATTCGTTGGTTGTTATCTTACTTTTTATCTTCTTTAACTGTGTTTATGTATGCACCTTGAATACCAAGGTAAATCCCTCATATGTGTAAACCTCCTTGGCAATAAACCAGTTTCTGATTCTGATTGAGTAAATGTACTTCAATACATTACACCACTACCTGTTGGTTAGTTGTAAACGGAAGCATCAACACTGATACAATTTTAATCAAGGATTATGACTCCTACATTCAGGGCCGTCCCTCCCTACAGGCCGATCATGCAGGCTGCATGGGGCCTCACATTGCGCAGGGGGCCTCGCGCAGGGGGCCTCGCGCAGGGGGCCTCGCGCAGGGGGGCATCGGCTTATGAGCTCGGCTTGTGCGCAGTTCTTAGCGCAGTTCTCCGCGCACCAATTTTGCCAATTGCCATATTAAAATATCAGCTGCAATTCATGACATGAAGAAGGCAGTCTCTGCATAGCATACAGGCTAATGGAGATGCAGTTATCTCCAGCATTCTTTATTTACCATTTTTTCCCCTTTTATTCATTTTTACGTCAATTTGCACATTTCATGGTGATGCTCAGCCTCTCCCCTTAACTCCTAACAGTCATCATCATGTCAACCACAACACAGAGAAATACTGATAGAAATGTGTGTCTAGTTGTTGATACATTGCTGACAGAGGGAACTACATTTGAATACAGATTTAAGAAATATCCGTTTTTGAGCATGTCATAAGCATGTTTTGTTTTGACTATATTACAACTATATTATAATAAAATATAGTATTTATATTATTGAATTGATTATGATTATTATTATTAGTAGAAGTAGTTTATTTGCATCAATTATATTTTAATCTTTTTGAGGCTAGTATTTGGCAAATGCAGACGTATTCAGCTGTAAACGCATACTGAAGGACATACATGCACATTTACCATTTACCTCACGGCCCGTCCACACAGCGGCGTGCGTGGAAAGCTTCACCATTCACTTTGAATGGGGTTACGTCACTCTTCGCCGAACTGCATTGTGGGAAGCGACGCGGAGCTTTGCTGGCGTGGCTCGCAGCAAAAGTTGAGCAATGTTCAACTTTTGAAGCCTCGGCAGAAGCGTCAGCCAATCGAATCATATGCCAGTACAAGCTCTAGCCAATCAAACCGCTGCTTGTGTGTCAGGGGCGGGAGATTCATGCGATTGGTTGTTGGTGGAGTTTCAGACACGCCCCCCGGGAAGCTTCAACGCATGCCGCGGTGTGGATGGGCCGTCACTGTTTAAAAAAGTAACTGTGTTGATAATAATAATAAACAGGAATTATATTTGCAAAGTACTTTGTTTCCCAAACATTTATTTTCACTCCTGTCAGTGGGGGGGAGGCCTCATCTCACAATGTCGCTTGGGGCCCCAAGTTGGCCAGGGACGGCCCTGCCTACATTGAAAGCATTTTATAATGAGTCCTTGACAAAAATATGACAACATAAGCAGTTACGGCCCGTCCACACAGCGGTGTGCGTTGAAGCTTGCTGGCGGGTGTGTCTAAAACTCGACCAACAACCAATCACATGAATCTCCCGCCCCTGACACACAAGCAGCGGTTTGATTGGCTAGAGCTTGTACTGGCATATGATTCGATTGGCTGACGCTTCTGCAGAGGCTTCAAAAGTTGAACATTGCTCAACTTTGCAGCGAGGCATGCCAGCAAAGCTCCGCTTCCCACAATGCAGTTCGGCAAAAAGTGGAGTCACCCCATTCAAAGTGAATGGTGAAGCTTTCAACGCACACCGCTGTGTGGACGGGCCGTTACGATTCCCTTACACTGATATTGTCTGTAGTGACAGTGTATCAATCATGACCAAAATCTTAATCCAAAAATTACCTTTATTAGCTTCTGCAGCTTGTTGTCGCAGAGCTGAAGTCCAACCAAAATTCCTGGAAAAAAACAAAGATATTAAGTAAAAGAAGTTACACTTAGTGTATGTTATCTTGACTTTTAACTTTTCACATCCCCTGATCAGTTTTCATGCACATTTTACGCAGTGCACTCAATCTGAATACGGATATTGTACATATTTGTTGTCCCTAGTCATTTTGTACTTTTTTTATAATTGTATTCTGTTTTTGACTTTTGCAGCAATTAACCTGTATTCTATTTCCTCTTGATATATTTACTGTATGCAAACATTTGGTTCAGGGGCATAGAGGGCCAATCCACTAATCGGCAGATCACCGGTTCGATCCCCGCATCCCCCAGTGACACTTAACACCAAATTGCTCCCCATAGGTGTATACATATGTGTTTGAATGGAAAAATGTTGGCATGTTGCGCTTTGATGTGGCTAAAGAAAGCGTTATACAAATACAAGTTCAGTTCATTAAGACGTGACCTCCTGTCAAAGTATGCTTGCTGCAGCTAGCATACAATACATACATGTAAAATGACCGCAATTAATATAGACTAAAGTCGACTGATCTATATTCTGCTTTAAAACAAACATGTCTTACCTGTGACTCCATAGCTGTTCGAAATTATTAAGCAAAACCCGACTGTTTCTTTGGATATAATGCCCTACGTGCCTACCGGGCGCCGCCATGTTGTTACTAACTGAAGGCTTCTGGGAGGGAGAAACCATGTGGGCTGTGAAAAGGGGAGAGCACAATAATAGCACATTGTATTTTAAATAAATACTACTCTTAATTCATACGTGTCCTCGAGCAAGCTACAATTTTAACATAGAGTAATATATTCCAATAGCACCATATCCCCTAGATTTATGAAAAGTCTATTTATCTGTTCTTGTCTCCCCCCTCAAATGTTACGTTAGGTCCCATGATCCCTCCACGTGGTGCAGACCAGGAGCAACTGAGTGTGTGGCATGTGGTTCAACTGTACGCCATGAATTTATATCAATAAAACTTTAGCTTAATTCTCCGAAAATGTTGTTTAGTAAAGAAGCGCCATGGCGGCGTCTGGAAGGCCTGTCGTTTGGCATGTACTCAGCTGAAGAGATAAGGTGAGAAAAGACATGTTGCTAGCTTTAGGACTTAATGCTAAACATGAGTTGAAAACAACATGCCTGCTCATCGCAGCATGCTATAACATCATGTTGTAGTCGTTTCCTCGCATATTGCACACATATTTAAGCTCATATTTAAGAGTTGCTATGTCAATGTTCATAATAGATATTTTGTATTTGTTTTTTTTACGTCAATTCATTTTTTTCTGTTAAATTGGTTAGTCTTCTGTTTTTCATATACATATCTTGCCGTGTTTTATTAATAAGTGACATACCTTGCATGTCCTCCTATCTGAAACATTTATTATTTATCTGTTTATATCAAATGTTCGCTTATTATTTTTCGTTAAACTCTTCATTACTTTTCTTTATAGTACAAAAAAACATGTATAATTTATATATTTTAATTTCCTTCATGTTATTCTCGCTCTTTAACTAACTTACTTTGGGTAATATGCATTAACTCTTTAAGGACCTATTAAGATGACATTAACCGACTTAATTCAGATTACACTTTAATAATATAGTTATTCCCTGCAGTGGTAAAATGACCCAGAAATGTATATGAATTCAAAATAATTGTGGAGTGTGTTATTATAATGATGCATCGTTCCCATCTCCTGTCCAGGAAGCTGAGTGTGAAGACGATCACTAACTTCAGGTTCCTGGATGCCGTTGGGAATGTGGCCCCAAACAGCCTGTATGATCTGGCCCTGGGACCAGCAGACAACAAAGAGGTACGCCTCCACTGAAATAATATAACTTGCACACATGTGTATGATACAGTAATCATGACACATCTGTTAAATGCTGTACATGTATCTGTTGCATATATTGTGCGCTGTAACTTACAATAAAAAATAAATCATGTTTCATTCCGTGTTTTTTACCAGGTGTGTTCAACCTGCTGTCAGGACTTCAACAACTGTCCAGGTCACATGGGGCATGTGGAGCTACCTCTACCTGTTTACAACCCGCTGTTCTTTGATGTAAGCCGATCCACGAATGCACCACAAAACTGTACTACTAACATGTTAACTTTATTACTGTGTGTGATTCTGTCAATGTTAGATGAGCCTTAGGGGTTAAAATCTGATACTTTAGTATTCACTTTCTGTCAACGCAAGTTGCTCGAATTTATTATGATTTTCAAATACAGAACAGGCTTTCTGCTCATTTGACTGATCTGATCCAAACTCATGGTTTTGATTTTCTTCAGATTATTCAATTGTATTGTTAAGAGCCAAAGTTGTTAGTGGATTCATTTATTAGTTCACTAAACATGTTCATAACCCATGAATTGATCATTTTTGCACTGTTGGTTGAACAACACAATTAAGATCATACCTTTCAGATATGCAATATGTTTGTGTTTATGATCTCCTAAATTATCATTAGTTTCAGGCTAAATCACTTTCTGAATTGACAATCCCTGCTTTTATGATTTTTGTACCAACATCTTTTGACCAGTAATATAACGTTATGCCATTATTTCACCTTCTTCTCACCTCCTCCATCAGAAACTGTACCTGCTGATCCGTGGCTCGTGTCTCTCATGTAACATGCTGCTGTGCCCTCGCGCCGCCATTCACCTGCTGCTCAGCCAGCTGCGGCTGCTGGACCACGGGAACATGCAGGAGGTGTACCAGGTGGAGCAGGTCCTCAGCCAGGTGGGTCTGAAGCACCTGGGGAATCTAGTGATGGAGATTGGTACACATGGGGTGGGCAATATGACCAAACATCGTATCACGGTACAAGTACATTCATATCAAATCGCGATATATAGATTTACATTTAAGAAATAGTTTAAAATAATCATTGCCTACTTTATCGCTAATGGCTTTTATTTAGATTTGATTAACTTCACATGAGACAATGCTTGAGTTAACAAGAAAAGACACAAACCAGTAAAAGTTAAGAGAATCAAAATGGATTCTTTAAAGTTTCTGATAAAAAATAATTCCAAGTGTTAAAGGTGGGGTAGGTAAGTTTCAGAAACCGGCTCGAGTGCACTAACATTTGAAAGTACACAGCCGAAAAGAATCCGCCCCTTCCTTCACCTCCTCCAACACACATGAACGCGCACATGACGTCAGCAGACTGGTGAAAGTGGCCGCCTGTTGCTGGCACGAGATACATTTGTGCGTGCACGAGATGGAAGGCTGACAGACAGGGCGGCAATCCAATCCGTTTAGCCGGTTGTACTTTTTACAGTATTACGGCTTCCACAGATGAATTTTTTTAATGGATTTGTTGTCAAAGCACTTCAGATATTCATTGCTATCGGGATGTTAAGAGCATTCCATGGAATATAACAAAAAGTGTATCTCGAGCCGGTTTCTCAAACTTACCTACCCTACCTTTAAAGGTTTCCAGTTTAACAGGTGCAAATATATATACTAGCCTAACTTCGGTTTGTGCAATATTAAGGCATATCAAATAACACAAATTAGTATTTTACAGTAAATAGGTAAATGTAGAATTTGCTCCTTTTTATATTTTAAATTGATAAAACAAATTTTTTGCAAATGTCACCTTAATTGTGATTATATTATTTTTTGCAGATGTGTGAATGAACTGTTTTCAATGTAATCTTTATTTTCAAATTGTCTGTCAGCACCTGGAGGAGAACCCCAAAGCCACAGGAGATGAGATCCAGCTGGTGCTGAAGCAGTTTACAGACAGCATAGTCGGAGTAAACACTGAAGGCTCAGCGAACACCAAACCGGTGAGTACACACACACACACACACACACACACACACACACACACACACACACACACACACACACACACACACACACACACACACACACACACACACACACACACACACACACACACACACACACACACACACATACACGCGCACACACACACACACATGCACACATACACATACACACGCACTGCACACACACACACACACACACACACACACACACACACACACACACACACACACACGCACACTCACACACGGACTGCACTCCATTACAAACATCACAAATCAACCAAAGTGTGTTTGAATCATAGAATCTATAGTGTCATGTGTGTGTGTGTGTTTTCAGATCAAACACCTTGTTGAAAAGAAGTACAGTTTGATCAATGACTTCTGGAGGATCCATATGAAATCTAGGAAGTGCCCTTACTGCAGGTAACATGATAAAAGTGGTTTGGCCTTTACTTGATTGTGATTAAATGTTGGTCTGAAATACTTTCTGTTGAAAAGCTGAACCATCTACAGTCTTGTCTTTAGTCGTGTGGAACCAGTCACACTTTTGTGTTTCTACTGCACCGTAAGGCACAACTCCACTCAAATTGACTTTTTTGTTTATTTCTCAAATTAAATGGTCAATGTGTCATAGGACAATACAATGAGGTGATGACATGTTGGACAGACTTGTAAACTGCAACTTGACTGTTTTCAAGCTGGTTATCTTAGTTATTCGCTTGACCTGGTTTTTAAGGGGCCTATTATGCTCATCTGGGTCATATTTCTATTTTGTTCCTCTACTGCAGGGGTCGGCAACCCCTGGCACGCGTGCCAGCATTGGCACGCGGCACCATAACCAGTGGCACACTAGGAATGAGTGGAATAAGTGTGCAAAATATTTAAATTGTATTTTCGGATCCTGAACGAGACCACCGCCAGAGCGCGTCTCCCCGTTACCTGCACAAGGAAGCCATGCACGCAACGCAGCCCCGCTCTGTTTATCTCCAGGTGACTTTCTGCCGCTTTCCTCCGTGGTGCTGATCGTTTCACCACGGAGGAAAGCACTTCACTAATTGCAGTACCCATAAGGAGCTGTACAAATGCCGCAGTTTTTGCCTGGCTGTGTATTTAGTTGAAAGCCCAGTGGCGATCTGCTCATCTCTCATCGAAATAATATGCTACAAAGGGGCGGACTGGCCATCTGTGTGTTGAACTTTCCTGTCGGCTCCCAGACCGTAGTCGAGGAGGGCAGAAGCAACAAGCTTCAGGTTCAATAACCCACTTTAGCTTAAATAACTGGAGAGAGGCGAGCTCTTCTTGGGAGGTTGTTGCATTTATTTAGCTGTTCTTCTGTTTCACAAAATACATCACAGACCTCTGTTTTTCTGCTTCCTCGTTTCACTTCCAGAAACATAAGGCACTTTCACACCGCAGTACTTTTCCCACAAAGGTTCATGAGAACTTAGTTCATGTGAACTCTTTAGTTCGCATGAACTAAGTACAGATCGCGTTCACACCGGAATAAGTCCCTGGGGGAGGATTAGGCAAATGAAGCCGCTGACGTCACTTCTTCTTCTTCTGCTTTGGGCTTACTGGCAGGCTGCAAACCACTTCACGGCGTATACTGCCGCCCAAAGTCCCCGGCCGGAAGTCCCCGGAGTTAGGGACTGGCTTCAGTAGAAGCTGCTGGGACTCCCAGCAGCTTCTACTGAAGCCTTCCGAGTAAATCGCCAGAACGCCGACACCTCCTCATCTCCACCGCTCCCATGTTTTATTTTGTGTTGCCATAAGTTAGTCTCTCTGCGTTTCTGCGCTGGGCTAATGCTAATAATGCTAATGCGAGGATAATAAAATGGCGGCTTCACAAAACTTTTTGGGAGTTTTACGGGGCGTGGTTTGCAATCCGCCCAGCCAATCAGAAATATAGTTATTTTCTCACAAGAGAGCCGTACGAAAGTCCCTGCTCTCTAGCAGCTCTCTGCTCTCTAGCAGGGACTTTCGTGGGGGTAAAAAGGTTCACATGAACTCATTTTAGTACCGGCTCTTTTTGGTGTGAACGCGACAAAAGAGTTCTCATGAACCTTTGTGGGAAAAGTACTGCGGTGTGAAAGCGCCTATAGACACGTTCCCTCACTGTCGCTCTACCATCCACAAACACACATGCACAAGCCACGCCCCTCTCTCTTAAAGGGACAGCGATCTCATCTCACTCTGCATGACCCTAATATCACAACATGTGTGCTCTGGAGAATCACAGAAAGGACGATCGTCCTTATTATTATGCCGTTCAAACCAATTATTTAAATGTGTTTGTTAAATTCGGCATCATGTAAGTTGCGCTGACAGGTCCACACACTGCTTCCCCGCAACAAGGCTCCCCTGCCTTCCAGCTGATAGTTGATGAGCTTCAAGCTCCTCAACCCCCCCCCCCCGTTGATAATTCTCGATCGTTGGCACGCTGATAACAATTTATTTTTTAAATGGCACTTCATATCAAAAAGGTTGCCGACCCCTGCTCTACTGTGACATGTTTCCATGCTTTAATGTTCAAAAAGCTCTTTATTTTTCTCATGCTGCCTGTGCTGCAGCACCTCTTTTCACCTTCTGTCTGAAACCAGAGCCCAGTCTGCTCTGATTGGCTAGCTGTCTGGCTCTGTTGTGATAGGGGATATAAGCCTTTGCAGACCATTTACATGCACACAAACCTATATAACACACTTACAGGAAAGGGAAAGCCCAAAAAGCATACAATGGCCCCTTTTATTAAAGGTCCCATGTCATGGCCATTTCTACTGATCATAATTCCATTATTGAGGTCTACTAGAATAGATTTATATTGTGCAATTTTCCAAACTTACATTGGTTTCTCATACAGCATCTCTGTAAAGTATGTGTATTCACTCTCTGTCCTAAACGGCTTGTTCGAGCTCCTGCCCCCCCTCCCTGTGAGCCCAGTGTGCTCTGATTGGTCGAGAAGCTGACAGGCTCGCACACACACACACACTGCTGCAGGAGCAGACAGGCATGTCGATACAGCGAGAACAAGCGAAACTCACCCTGAGCACACACAAACACTCACAGCCGAAGTAAAAACAATAAGTGTGGCTTGATATTGAGTAAGAAAAAGGTTTATAACGCTGTGAGCATGGGTCTGCGGAGAGCATTTCTCCGAAAACGTTTACCCATCTAAACAGTGGTGGTAGACCTTGTTTGTTTTAAACATCATAAATACACAAACAACAATGAATACTTACAGGTTGTGTACCCGAATCTCCCGCTGGTCCAAACAGTGTGTGTGTGTGTGTGTGTGTGTGTGTGTGTGTGTGTGTGTGTGTGTGTGTGTGTGTGTGTGTGTGTGTGTGTGTGTGTGTGTGTGTGTGTGTGTGTGTGTGTGTGTGTGTGTGTGTGTGTGTGTGTGTGTGTGTGTGTGTGTGTGTGTGTGTGTGTGTGTGTGTGTGTGTGTGTGTTGCAGCCGCATGAGTGCAAACTGCCCCCTCGCACACAGATGGCGAGAGAGAGATCTCTCGTCAGGATTGGAAAGATCGAAAATACTAAAAATAATCATAGATTCATTTTTGCCATCTTTTTGCATATTAGATAACGGAGTTGACGACACCAAAACTGCAATATAATGTTTGTGTAGCATAATAAATATGACATATCGTTCTTCAGTGCCCTACGCTGTACATATCCGACATTAATCGCTGAAAGGTTTTGGAAGCTTTGTTTCGTGAAAGGCTGGCAGAGGGTGCGGCCATAGCTCTGGGCGTGGCTACTGGGTATTCACACGTCAGAGTACCCAGGAAGTAAATGAGAAATCTCAAACAAGGCGTTTTGGGGAGGTCGTGTGTTAGAGTTTTACTCGCTACAGGGTGTACTTTGAGGGGTTTTGACTCTGCAGACCGTTTACATGCATAAAAACCTTCATAACACACAAGGGGACGGGTAATAACCAGAAAAGCATGACATGGGACCTTTAAATAACCCTGAGAATGCAGTCTCACACAGGATATCATCCAGCAGGGGGCAGTGTTTGCTAACAGGTCTACTCACAGATTAAACACCTGTACTAACTCACTGCACTCTGTCTATCAATACTATTGAGTCCTCATTGCTTTTTGCACACTTCTAAGCCATATCCAGAGATGAAACGGTGTGTAGCCAAGGCCCATGCTGAAATAACAATTTATTATCGTATTTGTCTTTGGACCATTTGTTTTCTATTTGTTGTCAGTTTTCAGCAATTAGTAGCCTGCTCCTCTTTATTAAGTGAAGCTAATCCATCCCAGTTCAGTGTTCTTCAAGTGGATGATTATTAACCTCTTTACTGTTTACTGTTGTTGTTCGGGTTTAAATACGAGTTGTACAATGAATCCGCAAAGCAAGGACTCTCACTGGCCACAATGAGTGCATTGTGTTACTACAATCAACATACAAGCATACAGGAAAATGGCTTTTGATTGTCTACGATTATTATATAATACTAAAATAATAATATAACATTTGATGCTGTAATCATGTTCTTTTGTGTGTTTGTGTGTGTAGTACTGGCAAGTTTACAGTGCGCCGTGAACACAACAGTAAGCTGATTGTCACAATGCCATCGGGAGCACAGACCCTTGGCAACACTGATGGTAGGTTATATTTGATTAAATTGCTGTTGTTTATTGTGCTGATGGTAATGCAAGCAAGACTGAAAATAAACATATTGTTAACTTCTAAAGAATTTGTGGGAACGATATATTGTATGGGACAATGTGCAGCGAGGAGCTCATTCTTGAAAAAATAACCTAGTGTATGTGTGTATGTATATATTCACACTGCTGGTTTTGTTCCTGTCCCTGCAGAGGATCTGGCGGGAAAGAGAGTGTACCTGACGGCGAGTACTGCCAGAGAACACAGCAACAAACTGTGGGCGAAAGAAGGTAGGCCTAGAAAACAATGTCCTTTGACTGTTCAAAGGGCTAGATAACATTATTCTAACATTGTGCTCTCATCAGAGGGTACATAAGACTTATAATCCCCCTTTTCATAACCAATTTTTGTCTTGAATCTATCAAATCTGAGTTTTTAACTTTTTTTTGTAGTTATTAAGAAGTGCACCCGAAATGTCAGAGCTGCAAAAAAAAGAGAGGCAAAAACCTGATTTCCTTTTGTCTGTTAGAAGGAATGCATTTTAAAATCTGCTTCATATCGTCTCTCCTGCTTCGAGGTTTCTTCTTGAAGTGCCTGTTCTCAGGAATGGAGGAGGGGAAGCTGTCACTGGCAGCAGAGGAAGGTTTCTATTCTGACCACTTCTTCCTCGAGCTGCTGGTGGTCCCACCCTGCAGGTACAGCCTGAACACACACACACTCTGAACACACGGAACCACTGGTAGTAGGGATGCACAATAAATACAAATGTTATTAAAATAGCAATATAGTGCAGGAGTAAGTCCTGTTTCTTTTGTTTGGATGCCTAAAGTAAGATCTGTGGTTTACACAAGCTGAAGAGATTTTGGCGTTTCATTCTACGACAAAAAACCATCAGTAAATACATCTCTGGTGAATATCTGAAGCTTCTACAAGTCATAAAAACAGCAGTTGCTAAGTTAGACAATTAACAGGGTTCTTACGGTCCTTAAAAACCTGGAAAAGTCATGGAAATTCAAAATGCTAATTCCAGGCCCTGGAAAAGTTATGGAAAACGATATTTTTCCCAAAGTTTTGGAAAAGTCATGGAAATGTAAAGTTGCGTCAAATGTAATTTACATTTGATCTAATCGCCGAAATAATCTGCGGTCGCGAGCTGTTATGTGCCATCATGACGCGCATGGTGTTATTTTTGAATATATGAAGCGCGAGCTGTGTGCTCGAGTCTAACTAAAGTTGCATCAAATATAATTTATATTTGATCTAATTACCGAAATAGTAATACTATAATGATAATACATACTGTATCGTATAGTAATGAAACGTAAAATGGCATTTAACTGACGAGGTATTTTGCTGGTGAGAGATTTTAGTTGCTATAGCTGTAGAAGCTAAGTATGTTTTAGATAGGCACAACATGTTTCATTATGCAGACCTTGTTTTCCTGTTCCATGTTCAAATAAACCATTTTCAGTGGTACCGCTGAGATAGTCATTTTTTGGTCATGGGAAATGAGGTAAAGGTCATGGAGAAGTCTTGGAAAATCATTGGTGAAAAAGTGTATGAACCCTGAATTAAACGTAATCACACCGAGCATTAGCCACCTTTAGCTTAGCGGTGGTGACGTGGAGTCATGTGATGTAGTTTGTTTTATAGCATACATTAGCTGTTTACTTCAAGTAATTGTATTTACACTTCAAACATGTGTTAATGTGAAGATTATCCTGCTGAACAAAACGTGTAAGTATCATAAACATAGTGTTTGTATTTTCTGCAATACTCCAAAATCCGATGGAAAACAAAAATATGGCATAACTGTACCAAACTATTGATATGACCTTATTGCTTTATTAAACCCGTTCTTCTCCACAGGTATCGTCCAATCAATCGCATCGGTGACCAGATGTTCACCAACGGTCAGACAGTCAACATGCAGGCGGTAATGAAGGACTGTGCAATCATCCGGAAACTGCTGGCTCTCATTGCGGGGGAGAAGATTGATAAGGAGGAAGAGGTAAGAGGAAGTGCTTACAGTTCTGATTCCCTTTTTTTATTTTTTATGATTGTGTATTATAGGGAAGGCTGCACACATGCAATTCCCTTTTTTTTCCTCAGGCTCCAGAGCAGATGGACCAAGCGTTTCTGACGGGGATCCCCGGGCTGACGGTCACAGATAAACTCTACAACATCTGGGTGCGGCTGCAGACACACGTCAACATCGTCTTTGACAGCGACATGGACAAAATGATGTCGGAGAAATACCCCGGAATCAGACAGGTATCCTGCGACTTTGCCCAACGTCAGATTACTATGTTTCTCTTGCTTTCTCTGACCCATTCATCAAGAAATCACCACAGTATCCAATGAATGGGACTACATGGCAAGATAACTACATCAGTGATGGAAATCCATTCAATCAAATGACCCAATTTTCCCCATGGATAAATAAAGAATTCTTATTTTTGTCTTATTTCTCTCTCCGATAATGCTACATTACAAAGAAATTCATTATAATTAGGGCTGTCAGTCGATTAAAATATTTAATCGCGATTAATCGCAAATTAATCGCACATTTTTTATCTGTTCTAAATGTACCTTAGAGGAATATTTTTCAAGTTTTTAATACTCTTATCAACATATGAGTGGACAAATATGCTTTATGCTAATGTTTATTATCATTTGAACAATGACAAATATTCTCATGAATATTAAACACAACAACCTGTGTGTGTGTGTGTGTGTGTGTGTGTGTGTGTGTGTGTGTGTGTGTGTGTGTGTGTGTGTGTGTGTGTGTGTGTGTGTGTGTGTGTGTGTGTGTGTGTGTGTGTGTGTGTGTGTGTGTGTGTGTGTGTGTGTGTGTGTGTGTGTGTGTGTGTGTGTGTGTGTGTGTGTGTGTGTGTGTGTGTGTGTGTGTGTGTGTGTGTGTGTGTGTGTGTGTGTGTGTGTGTGTGTGTGTGTGTGTGTGTGTGTGTGTGTGTGTGTGTGTGTGTGTGTGTGTGTGTGTGTGTGTGTGTGTGTGTGTGTGTGTGTGTGTGTGTGTGTGTGTGTGTGTGTGTGTGTGTGTGTGTGTGTGTTGGATCGTTGGAGCTATGTGCAACTCAAGGCATATGCTCGAACGGGAGCTGCCTGGACGCTGCAATCATGTTGCGCACTATCCGTGCTGAGTTTGCTGACTTTTCGTACAATGTCCCACTGTCTGGCTTCCTGCATAAAGTCAAGTGCTCGGCGCAGTTGTGGCGAAATGTCGCTCCTCTGTTTTCATTTAAACAGCTCCATATCCATTAGCACAGCTAGCTAGCACCAGATGCTAACAACAACAACAATGCACGTAAGGTCTCTCTCTCGCTCGCTCGGGCCACACATACACACACCCTCCCGGTCCTCCAGATGGCCAGTCGGTGCCTGCCGGTGAGCCTGGAAGTGTGGTCTGCCACAAGCGGGCGGCAGGAGCGGGGCTGTCAGCATCAGCTTGTAGATGGTATTTTAAACTCGATGCGCTCTGAAAGTACGGGGCGGCCGAGGAAAAAAAATACACATGCGTTAAAATAATTAGTGGCGTTAATTTTTTTTTTCGTTAGCGCGTTATTAACGCGTTAACGCAATATTCCGCATTTGACCGATTATCGGTATCGGCCTTTTTTTTTATCAAATTGCCGATAAAACTTTGGCTCTGATGCGGCCGTTTCTCTGGCTGCAGTCACCACTCTGTGTACACAAGCAATGTCCCGCCCACAGCGCTATCTGATAGGCTATTACTGAAGAGCCAGCCAGAGAGGCGGGACCTTCTCAGATTACAGGCAGGTGCGAAAGAACGCAGACACAGACTGAAGCAAGCAGCAGCGCTGAGCGGCAGAGCCATACATGTGTTAAACCGAAGTTCAATAAACATCCCTATCCCCTATGCTGAAGTTGCAAAAACACCACGATCTTATGATCCAATTCTATCAGTTTCCCAGTTACACAGGGACGCGGGAAGTCGGTCAGAGTTGGGGGTGCGTGCAGCGTCTCGCAGCGGAGTAACTGTGGTGCGGAGGGGGGGGGAGGGACTGCGAGTGGAGCCTCGCAGTTTTTCAGATTGATATGTGAAGCTCATTAGCTAGCCAACATGTATCTAGCAAATGTTTAGCACAATATTAGAAGTGAGGCTACTAGACTAACGTTAGGTCTACTGTAATAGCCTCACTTTTAATAGTTTGCAAAACATTAGCTAGCACTAGTGTTTTGCAGTTGCTAACAGCTTATTGGGGTTTTATGCTAGATAGACAGATATAATAAATTAAGCATTATTGTTAGTTAAGCATGTCAGCCTGCAGCCCCACTTCTTGTCTCTCTCTCTAACTCATTGCAGATGACTGCACTAAAGAAAAGGGCACAGAGAGGAAACCAGTTGTAAGATGTTTAAAAGTTAATTAAACATAATATATGCTTAAATGCATTTCAAAGAAGTTGTGTTGTGTTGGAGTTTGTGTTATTCTACATTTTGACACCAAGATTTTCTGATTTTACTGCAAATGTATATCGGTTCCAAATATCGGTTATCGGTCTCCTTGATTACTAATAATCGGTATCAGCCTTGAAAAAGCCATATCGGTCGATCCCTAATATATATTAAACACTAACCTTATTTTAGTGGTGGATAACTTTTCTCTCATGTGATCTAAGGCTTTATATAGGGCAGTGACCTCTTGCTAAATGTTTGCACTCAGTGGCAGGTTGTTTGTTTGTGGTCGCAATATCAAACGCAACAATTTGTCAAAAAGCACGTATTTTATCGGGACTAAGGTTGGGAACTGAAACTCAGCTCCGAGTAAGAACCACCACCAATTTCCCGGTACCGGGTACGCAAAGAAAAACATTTATTTCAGTTCTGTGTTGATGAACCGATGTGATGTAGCCCTTTCCAGATATTGTACTCCGCGAAGCAATACAACCAAATCAAACTGTATGAAGTTATTTGTGAATATTAATATGCAGTTGAGAACATTTTTCATAAATAATGTTTTATCCTGCGCAAAAGGCTTGTGACATATTTTACCCCAACAAATAATTGAAATCGATGAGCAGAACCGAAATCTTAACCTGAATATTTAAAATACTAACAATACCTCACCCTAGGGGACCCACTTTCCTCGGACACCAAATGACCCCCTGTGGACCAACATCACTGAAGTCGGTTTCACTTTACAGTGTAGCCGATCTGCTTTTAGTAATTCAACAAGCTTTCCTTTTCCTTTTGGTTTGCTGATAAAGAAAGACATGCTGCCTAATTGTCCCCTCTCCTCTTCCAGATCCTGGAGAAGAAGGACGGACTCTTCCGGAAACACATGATGGGCAAACGAGTGGACTTTGCTGCACGATCAGTCATCTGTCCTGACATGTACATCGGGACCAACGAGATCGGCATCCCTATGGTACTGACTTTTTCTGACCATTTTAAAGAGAGAAAACAAGTTTTGTTGAGGAAGGGGAAATATAAATGATCTGGAACTTTCTGTCTCCTTGTGATGCAGGTGTTTGCCACCAAGCTGACGTACCCCCAGCCCGTCACCCCCTTTAACGTGAAGGAGCTCCGCCAGGCCGTTCTCAACGGGCCCAACGTCCACCCCGGGGCGTCCATGGTGATAAACGAGGACGGCCGGAGAACCATCCTGTCCCCTACCAGCCTCGTGCAGAGAGAAGCCGTCGCCAAGCAACTGCTGACGCCCTGCGACGGGCCGCATAAGATCCCCATCAAGATCGTAAGACCATTGCTCTGATTTTAATTCACAGACATACAGTCTTGCACACGCTGCAGTGTGAGCTAAGTAAGAGATACAATGCAGCGCGCCATCCATTATATTACAATATTTTGAATCATCCTGAAAGATTTCCTTTAAGTTATGATTTGAACATGATTTTATTCAATTTAAAATAGGGCTGCACGATATATCCAGGGTTCGTACGGGTGCTGGAAATCCTTGAAAATGCTTGAAATTGTATGAGGTGTTTTCAAGGTTTGAAAAGTGCTTGAATTTTGGGAATGGTTCTTGAATTTAGGATAAAGTGCTTGAAATTGTAAATGCTTTACTTCGCTTTTTAGATTAAAAGAAAATAAAGAAGTCGGAGCGCGTTTAATTGCTTCGTTTTTACATAAAACGGCTCCGCTCCGGCCGTCCCGCGCTATGCGCGTGAACTGCAAGTGTTTGTGTTACGTGTGACCTGGGCATTCTGATGAGTGATAGATGACTGTGTGCCAGGAGGTTTCAGTTTCAACGAGCGTTGGCTAGCAGAAGACAAATACAAGACATGGCTAAGACGAGGGTCAAGCCCACGAGTAGCAGGGTTCGTACGGTCATTGAAAACCTGGAAAAGTTATGGAAAACAATATTTTTCCCAAAGTTTTGGAAAAGTCATGGAAATGTAAAGTTGCGTCAAATGTAATTTACATTTGATCTAATCGCCGAAATAATCTGCGGTCGCGAGCTGTTCTGTGCCATCATGACGCGCATGGTGTTATTTTTGAATATATGAAGCGCGAGCTGTGTGCTCGAGTCTTCCTGCCTGTCGGCTGAACTCTGCTGCTCCGGGATGAGGGTCAGCTACATTAGCTACGGTGCGTTCGTTAACTGTGCGGAGTCACTGTGGCACAGACTGAGCCGCTGGTGAACAGCTGTTAGAACGGGCCGTTCAGGTGTTCAGAGCAGAGCGGCAGAGCGTGATGTGAACTGAAACGTTTTTCTGTCGCAATATCATTTAAGGAATCGTCGAGCTAGCTAGCATACATTGCCACTATCTGCTAACGTTAGCTTTAGCCTTCGTTTTCTAATAGTTTTTTTCACAGGCTATAAACAGAGGTGGTATAAGTATAGATATTGTACTAGAGTAAAAGTAGAAGTACTCAGATCTTGTACTTGAGTAAAAGTAGAAGTACTCAGATCTTGTAGTAAAAGTAGAAGTACTCAGATCTTGTACTTGATTAAAAGTAGAAGTACTCAGATCTTGTAGTAAAAGTAGAAGTACTCAGATCTTGTACTTGAGTAAAAGTAGAACTACCAGAGTGTAGAAATACTCTGTTACAGTAAAAGTCCTGCATTCAAAATGTTCCTCAAGTAAAAGTAGAAAAGTATTCTCATCAAAATATAGTTAAAGTAGCGACAGTAAAAGTAGTCGTTGTGCAGATTGGTCCATTTCAGAATAATATATATGATATGTTTTATAAAGATTGATCATGAAAGTGTTCTCAAAGCTGGTAAAGGTGCAGCTAGTTTGAAGTACTTTGTATACTGCAGGGTAGCTGGTGGATTTACTCCAGGTGGAACTAAAGTCTGATTTAACACTTTACTCACATTATTCATCCACATTTTGTAAAGTAACTAAAGGTATTAAATACATGTAGTGGACTCAAAGTACACCTTTTACCTCTGAATTGTAGAGGAGTAGAAGTACACAGTAGCAAAACATTGAAATACTTAATAAAGTACAAGTATCTCAAAATTGTACCCAAGTACTTGTTGAGTTTATGAACTTAGTTACTTTACACCAATTGCTATAAAGATAGAAAGACTAAGCCTTGCACAGAGGCATGAAAATACATTTTCAAAATGCTCAACAGTGCTGCCAAAATGATAAACTGACTGCTACACAATTAAAATAAATGCTTTTATATATTTCTAGATGTGAATCTTTGGCGTTTCTGTTATTATTACCTGCTGCTTTAGTTGTTCTGACTGCTAAAATCCTCTGTTATTCCTCATTTTAAAGCCGATATTCCGTGGGGTCGGGGGGCTCGGATCCTTGTCACCTTTTTCATACCTGATGAGTTTGCATCCCTGACTACAGTTGCTTTAAGCGTGTAGAAGCTAGTAAGCCTACTATTTTATTTGTTTTAGATAGGCACTACATGTTTCATATGCACACCTTATTTTCCTGTTCCATGTTAAAATAAACCATTTTCAGTGGTCATTTTTTTTTGGTCATGGAAAATGAGGTAAAGTTCATTGAGAAGTCATGAAAAGGTCATTGAAAATCATTGGTGAAAAAGTGTATGAACCCTGGAGTAGCCTCCTGCAAAGTTTCCCAAAAATAATTTCAGTTGTTCACGATGGGAGAGTCTGCGCTGACAAGCCACATGAAAGGTACGTCATAGTAAAGCATTTTGGATTAGGCTAACGTTGCATGTTACGTTTGTTTAAGCTAACGTTAGCAAGCTGAATAGCGAACTCGTTGAGGGATAATAATAATTGCAGGGGACAATCATTTCAGAGGAGCGTACCTATGGTATGTGCGTTACAGTCGCCATCCTGTGGTGTTCAGAGGATGAAGCACTCACTGTTGTAATTCAACCCAGTCTCACGGCATTTCGTGTTATAGTCACGAAATATAATCTATTGATTCGAGCGATTTTAAAAGCAATGTATTTCTACTGGTAGTATGTTTCGTGCCTAAACCAAATGTGACTTGCTCTATCGAAATCAGTCACATTGACCCGAAGACACATTTTCGTTTGTATTACTGGTCTGGGGGAAGCTCGCGAGTGCGTGTGTTTGTGTGTATTGTGTTTGTGTACCGGGGAAACACTCACAAGAAACACCTGCTGTTGTTATGCTTGCTGTGACGTTAAATTACTCCGTTCTCCGCTTGTAATTATGCCGTCACAAGCTTTAAAGCTGTATTTATCATCTGAATTTGCCGAAACAAGTTTAATATTATATTAATATTCTGAAAGCCAATACTTTGTTTATTTGAAAACAGATGAAAACAAACTGTCCCGGACCCTGCCGTGTTATCAATGATTACTATACGCCCTTACTTCATAATTTCAGCGGGAGGGAGGGGGAGCGGCACTGCGGAAGAGTTGGGTGCGAGTTGAAAGGTGCCTCTTCTTCCCTTTACAAGCTTCAAAAATGTATTTATCATGAGATTTTGGAAATAACAGTTTCATATTCTGAAAGCCAAGACTTTGTTTATTTAAACACCCGAACCCTGAAAAACTAGTTTTTTTTACACAAATCAACGTTTTCTTTTTTTAAATGAGCCGTTGCGACTTCCAACTGCTATCGGTAGAGCGGGTCACAAATAATAACAAATTAGAAGGAAAAAAATATACCTTCGAAACACATGTATGGCTCTGCCGCTCAGCGCTGCTGCTTGCTTCAGTCTGTGTCTGCGTTCTTTCGCACCTGCCTGTAATCTGAGAAGGTCCCGCCTCTCTGGCTGGCTCCCGCCCGGAAAATCTTCAGTAATAGCCTATCAGATAGCGCTGTGGGCGGGACATTGCTCGTGTACACAGAGTGGTGAGTGCAGCCAGAGAAACGGCCGCATCAGAGCCAAAGTTTTATCGGCAATTTGATTAAAAAAAAGGCCGATACCGATAATTGGTCAAATGCCGATACCGATAATCGGCCAATACCCCTAGTATTATACAAGTAAAACTACATTTTGCTTTAATCCCATGTAATTGTAGAATAAACACAGTCTTCCTTTGAAGATGTATAAGTCAGGTGTCTTGAGTAGCATTACCTACAAATCATTGTACACATTTGTAAATATTATTTTCCACTTGTTACCATTGTGAGGCTATTTCTATGCAGCTCTGCGTGATTCTGTGGCTACAATTCAGACTAATACGCTACCAGAGGTGGAATAAGTACTTGAGTAAAAGTAGAAGTACCAGAGTATAGGGATACTCTGTTACAAGAATAAGTCCCTCAATCAAAATGTTCCTCAAGTAAAAGTAGAAAAGTGTTAGCATCAAAATATGGTTAAAGTAGCGACAGTAAAAGTAGTCGTTGTGCAGATTGGTCCATTTCAGAATAATATATCTGATATGTTTTATAATGATTGATCATTAAAGTGTTCTCAAAGCTGGTAAAGGTGCAGCTAGTTTGAATGACTTTGTATTAGGGCTGTACCCGAATATTCGACTATTCGAATATTCGTTCGTTGGCCAACTATTCGGGTTTCAATTTCATTATTCGGATATTCGGTTTTTTATTTTTTTTCCCAACATTTTTTTTTCCCCCCTAAATGTATGCTATCAATAAAGGTGAATTGCCATATTCTTATACTATATTATTTATACTTTTGAATTGCACTGTTAAAATGCGGAAATATATACAATATCAGCCTGTGCTCCTGACATCGCGTTCACTCAGTCACGAACGCAAACGGCACGTTAAATCAATTTAGCGAAAATTAAGGCTATTAAAAAGTATTAAACGGCATTTTCCAAGGTATTAAGAAGGTCCACAGCAACGACAACATGAAACACCCTTTAATTTACTGAAACAACATGTCGGGAAACCCCCTCAAGGTGGCCCCATGCATAGCGTGCCATAAAATGCTGCTTCTTATTTTAAGTTTCGTTGCCTTGCTCCGCTCTGTGGGGGGGGGTTATCTGCTGGTGGACTACCTGAGAGATATACAGCAGGAGAACAAACAGAAGGGCAACCATGACAACCATGCTCCGGGGTCTTCTTCGCTGCTTTTGGTGTATTTTGTGGCGGCAGCAGCGCCACTTACAGGCCTGGCATATGTACTACAGCGTTTCCAGCATTTCCAGCGGTCTAGTGTGAACGGACACGTTAATGAATCGAATGCGTGTGAACCACAGTCTATGGTGTGAACGGAAGACTTTTTTGCGTTTGCGTATGCGTTTTACTGTATGCGTCCTCGTGGGGCCGGGGTCTAAGCCAAACTATATCCGGTCACAGAGATCTGCTATTTTAAAGTAAGGTCAACACATATCGACCCTAAATAT